TAAACAGTCAGGCACGGTGGCTCCATCATAATTTTGCAAGTTACTAGTTCTGATATAAAGTGTAATCCCAGCACTTTGGGAGGCTGAGGCAGACCGATCATTTGTGACCAGGAGTTCGAGACCAGCCTGGCCAATATGGCAAAAGCCCATCTTTACTAAAAAATACAAAAGTTAGTTGGGCATGGTGGCATGTGACTGTAATCCCAGCTACTCAGGAGGCTGGGGTGGGAGAATCGCTTGAACCCAGGAGGCAGAGGTTACAGTGAGCTGAGATCATACCACTACATTCCAGCCCAGGCAACAGAGGGAGACTCCATCTCAAAAAAAAAAATACAGTTAGAATGAATTATATACTTTAAATGGGTAAACTGTATGGCATATGAATTATATCTCTAAAAAGCTATTTTTAAAGTTAATAAACAAAGGGCTAGTTATATCCTTTAAACAACTTTATGTAGAAGATTTAAAACCTACTGGCAAATTCTCTGACACTCCTCCCATTAAGAGGTCATCTCCTCTTGAAACTGGGTGAGCATTTGTGACGGCTTCAGCATTACTTCTCCCACATTCAAATTAAGTCAAATTAAGTGACTTAAGAATTCACTTAAGAATCTAGTTAGAAAAAATCATGCAGCTTCTGCCAGTCTCTCTTAGGATGCTTGCCCTTGGAACCCTGCCATCACACTGTGAGGAAGCCAGGGCTACATGGAGAGGCCCCAGCTGAGCTCCCAGCCCAAAGCCAGCATCAACTTGCCAGCCAGCTAGGTGGTCAAGCCATCTTGAAAACTGTCGCGGCTAATAGCACATTGAGCAGAGTCACCCTGCTTAACCTTACACAAATTAAAGAATTGTGAACAAAAGATTTGCCACTATTTGAAACCATTAAGTTTTAGGGTGGTTTGGTACACAGCAATGGGTAACTAGAATACTTTGCATACTTAGAAGGATAAAAACAGTATCTAGCCTCCGCCTACTCAGTGCAGTGCAGACACTTTTTTCTAGCAGATGATCACCCCAACTGTCCAAAAGTTTTGACTAACAAGAAGATCAGGTCCTCAACAAAGCTACCCCTTCCACTGATGACCGACTCTGGGAATTATGATCTGCCTTATATCAAAACCAGTTCTGTCATGCCCAACCTCTGGTTAAAGTTCTTTTCTCAAGGTGACCATTATTATCTAAAACCTCTTCTTCAAAACAGGCCTTAACCTTACTAAACAGTAGAGAAATCTTTAGCTTTCTTCTACTACGTAGCTGAGGAACGTGAAGTGCACAAATTGGCTGCTTTACCCACAGTTACACAATAGATTAGTTGAATTTCTGGCATAAGGTTTTTGTTTAGTATTATTTCTATTGAATATGGGGCAAATATAAGAATACAACGTGTGTTGTCCATACTCAAATCACAATTTTCATACTTAAGCCATCATTGTTTAGACAGTTAATCCTCATTTCTATTATCTAGGAGGAAGAGTATGGGCATGAATAACTGGAAGATGAAAACCACTTTTCTGTACCACTTTTCCTCACTTCATGTGTACTTAAATATTTCCTGTTTTAACTCCAGAAAGCCAGTAAACTCTTGCAGGGGAGGGATAAGTCTTATAATTGAGTCTTACTTGGTGTTTGAGTACATATATACTGAATAATTTTGCCTATCTATATGGGTGGCAGCATACAGATAAGGATAAAAACATTTCTTTTGAAATAATATAAACACAAGTCTTACAATCCAAAAATATTTCTCATTACATCAGTGTAGGAATTATATAGTAAACTTTCTTTTTCAAAGTCAGCAGCAATAGAAAATGAGCTTCTTACACTGTTGACTACATTATGTCAATTGCTATGACAATGCTTAGTCCCCAAACATTCTTTCTAATTGAGACAATTTCTCTCAGCTTCAGTCTCCTAAGGCTGAACCAATTACACAGCTCAAACCCCAAAACCCAAGGGGTGCCCCTCAGTAAAGATACTCTAGGCTGGGCGCAATGGCTCATGCCTGTAATCCCAGCACTTTGGGAGGCTGGGACAGGCAGATCATCTGAGGTCAAGAGTTCAAGAGCAGCCTGGCCAACATGGCGAAACACTGTCTCTACTAAAAATATACAAAAATTAGCCAGGCATGGTGGTGCACACCTGTAATTCCAGCTGCTCAGGAGGCTAAGGCTGGAGAATCACTTGAACCCGAGAGGCAGAGGTTGCAGTGAGCTGAGATTGTGCCACTGTATTCCAGCCTGGGCGACAACAGAAACTCCATCTCAAAAAAAAAAAAAAAAAATGACACTCTGATTACACAACCTAAGGGAAAATATAAACACCCTTTTCCAAGTTGCAAGGAAATTTTTCAGGCAACTCATTTTGTTTTTACACCTAAAAGTCTTACAAGTTGAGTGGTAATTGTCTGATAGAACTTTAAAACTGTCTGTGCTATAATCCATGATCGCATTCCAGAAGCCTAAACTTTTAATACAAATCATTTCTATTAATATGCATGCATTATATCTCATTTGTGTTCTCTGGGCTATATTTGCATTCTGTCCGTTTTAAGGTACAACTGAAATCTTCTAGGAGCAAGCAAGACCATGCTCAGTAAAAGTATCATTGGAGTAATACAGAACATTTGCACACTAGCCCAAATTGACCTCATGGGAGGCAAGGAACTAGAAAAACATATTTTATTTATTCATTTTTTCAGAGTCTCACTCTGTTGCCCAGGCTGGAGTGTAGTGGCCCAATCATGGCTCACTGCAGCCTCTAAGTCCTGGGCTAGGTGATCCTCCCACCTCAGCCTCCTGAGTAGCTGGGACTACAGGTATGCACCATTATACCCCACTAATTTTTGTATTTTTAGTAGGAATGAGGTTTCACCATGTAGCCCAGGCTGGTCTGGAACTCCTGGGCTCAAGAGAGCCACCAACCTTGGCCTCCCAAAGTGCTGGGATTATAGGCGTGAGTCACCATGCCTGGTCCTAGAAAAAAATATTTTAAATTGTATAAAATTTAACAAGCTATCTTAAATGAGGCACCTTAGAAAGAATTCCTAGTAATTCCAAAAGAAAAAAAATCAAAAAGAAAAAGCTATGTTGGAAAATGTGGTATCTGCATTGTTTCAAAATGTAAGTGGGTAATTCTCTTTAATAGTCCAAAAGATTTTAAAATTGGGTTGTTTTCAGAATATAATGCTCATTTGGTTAGAAATTCTCATTTTGATTCAGTTAGTTAAGATTTTGACGTTTATTATACACACACCCAGAAACATGAGCTTATTTCACATATCCAGTAACATTTCTTACATCTCTACAACTACAGAACTTAGTAGTTTCTCAAAAAAAAATGTTCTCTGTAAGCTCAAAACAGTGTCTACAATTGAAAGTTTACTACACACTCGTTTGTAAGGAAAAGCTTAGATGTTGGTGTCCAGTATTATATTTCTCAATGCATTTACTCAACCAATGGACAAAAGAAGAAAAAAAAAACCAGGACACACCCACTTATCTAAAAGAAGGATTAACATGAGAAATCCCAACTAACCCAAATATTATGTTAACAAACGTTAACTGTAAAACAATTTATTGTGAAATGATGAGTCATACATAGGCAACCAAAACTACTATAAATAAAAAACAAAGGCATTTTATGTAATTTAGATGTACCCTGGGTTCAGAAGAAAAAACTAAAATAAAAATAAAATATACAGCTTTCTCTGTGGCAGACAGTTCAAGCTAAAAGAACATTGTTAGTGATCTTTTAAAAACCACCTATCAAACTTTAAATGGCAGGTGCAATCTTCTTGTGAAGTAGACAGCACAGTACTTTCTTCCCCTACATTATAAAATACTGCTATCGAGTATGACTAAGAGAGAATGTACTGCGTGACCCAAGAAGGGTGTGTGTGAGAAGTAGGGGCAGAAAGATGGGGTTGAGAAAAACTGCAAAAAGCTTTCCAATTTCTTAACTCTGACTCTTCGAGACCAGAGCTTACCTGAATACATTCTCTTGGGGATTGGAAATCATGCAGAAAGCTCTATGACTCCAAAACGTCAATACGTTTACTATAAAGCATTCTTGGGTAAAGATATTTTGCCTTAAGCAAGGAGTTAACTGTTCATAATACTCATTTGAAAAATCCCGTATTTTGTTTGGGAGCAATAACTGGTAAGTTTATCAAAGTATTTTAGTAGACACAAATGAAGAACTATGTCGAAAGAGGAACTATTATGAAATGTATGACCAAGTGTGTTTTGTGTAAGACTAATGGACGTTTTCAAAGTTTTTTGGTTTCTGGCTATATTGAAAATAAGGACGTTTTCATTTAAACCAGCAGCAAAATACTACCTGGTTTATGCCGCTTATTTTCACTTTACAGTCTTAATACACATTCCAAGACTGATTCGATGGTCATTATTTCTTTCGGATAACTGGAAGAGGAGGGAGAATAAAACCGTACATTAAATAGTCCACTCAGTAATTGAGAAAATTCAGCAGTGAAATATATCATGAGGCGCCAAAGAGATTTACCGGGGAGGGCAGACAAAAGAGAAAACAGGCACAGCACATTAAGCCCCGGAAGAGATGAGAATCAGCCCCATAAACATAACTCGACGACTGGACAAAACCCCGCCTGGCGCTGCCAGTGGGTGAAACCAGGTGATTTGAGATACAGGGCGTTCTCGGCTCTTTCCCTCTCTAGAACCGATCATCTGCGACAGGAAGTCAGAGCAAGGCAGGGTTCGGAGCCCGAGAAAGCTCCCGGGTGGGTCTGTCTAACAAGACAACAAACTCTAAGACTCCTTCCGGAGCTCCACAACCCTCCAGGCGCCCTCGCTAGCGCTGCACTTCACGCCCCTGGGTCCCAAAAAGTCGTCCACCTGGACTTCAGCTACCCGCGTTCAAGAGTGGGGCAGCTGTAGGGTCGGCCCTCAGTGGTTCCGGGCCATAAGGAACACTGGCGGAGCGGCTCAGGGAGGCCAAGACGGCGGCCTCACGACTTTCATTACCTTCTCGCGCTGATCCCAGCTGTACTGCTTTGGCCGCTCCTCCTGGTTCTCGGGCCGCGACTCCCTGTCAGCCTTCCGTCTCTTGGAGAAGAAGCAGCCCATGGTCCCAACCCGCGGGGCTCCCTGGCTAGCTCACTCGCTCAGGCACCTCCTGGAGTATGGCGTGAACCCTGGACACCCGGCTCCGCAGCTCTCCCGACAACGCCCCGCGGAACCACCCAACAGTCCGTAGCCTCAGTTTGCCCGCCAGGCCCCGCACCCCTTCCCCTTTTTCGTCGCCCGGACGACCCAGCCCAGCCAATGAATGCTCAGCGCCTCTTGAGCCAATTAAGGCCTCTCGAGTAGTCCTGCGCGGCCTATGAAGAGAGGCAGACATACTCACACACCAATCCACGCTTGGCTTCTCCGTCAGCCCCAAGCAGCGGGGCGGGCCGGTTCTGGCGCAAGCACGGCCAACCCCGCCCACAGCTCTGGCCCGGCCCGCCCTTGGCCCCGCCCCTCCTGGGACTTGGTGGGCTCTCTTGCTGGTGGGAGGCCAGGCTCGGCAGCCGGGTTTTTTTGCCCCCTGGTTCATACATTTGCAAGTTCAAGTCGCGGGAGCGGTCTCTAGTCGAACATTAGATTTATCTTATGATGAAAGGTGTGAGGGAACAGAAATTCCTGCGGACACAAAAAGACCCTGAAATTTGTATTCCTAAATCCTCTTCTCCCCGTATCACCCTTCCTACCACCCCCTCATTGCCTGGCCAGGGTTACCCCCTCAATAACTGTACCCCATAACCTCCCAATCCTCTTCTGTGCTTTTTATCTTTTCTTTCTTTCTTTCTTTTTTTTCTTTTTTTTTTTTTTGAGACAGAGTTTCACTCTTGTTACCCAGTCTGGAGTGCAATGGCACGATCTCGGCTCACCGCAACCTCCGCCTCCTGGGTTCCGGCAATTCTCCCGCCTCAGCCTCCCGAGTAGCTGGGATTACAGGCACGCGCCACCATGCCCAGCTAATTTTTTGTGTTTTTAGTAGAGACGGGGTTTCACCATGTTGACCAGGATGGTCTTGATCTCTTGACCTCGTGATCCACCCGCCTCGGCCTCCCAAAGTACTGGGATTACAGGCTTGAGCCACCGTGCCCAGCCTCTTTCTTTCTTTTTCTTTCGTCTTTCTTTGACAGGGCCTCGCTGTGTCACTCAGGCTGCAGTGCCACAATCAACTCACAGCAACCTTGAAACCTTGACTTCCTGGGCTCAAGCGATCCTCCTGCTTCAGCCTCCCTGCTGAGTAGCTGGAACTTCAAGCAAGCACCACCAGTCTTTTATTATATATATATGTATATGTATATATTTTACTTTTGTAGTAATGGGGTCTTGCTATGTCGCCCAGGCTGATCTTGAACTTCTGGGCTCAAGCGATTATCCTGCCTCAGCCTCTCAAAGTGCTGGGATTACAGGCAGGAGCCACAGCACCTGGCCACATTCTGTGTTTTCTTAAGACTTTCACACATGGTTCTAAAATTGCACAAGTACTTAGTAAAATAGTTAATTGTGTATCGTTTCCCTAACCGAATTGTCACTTTCCTGAGAAAGTAATTACATACTTTGGTTCATAGGTTCATGCCTACTGGGACTACAGGCATGAACACCTGCGCTCAGCCCAAAGGTGCATCCCCTTTAAGACATACTGTAAAGTATGTAATTCTCATAGTAATTGAGAAAATTCAGCAGTGAAATATATCATTACAGGTTCACGCCTGTAATCCCAGCACTTTGGGAGGCCAAGGCAGGCGGATCACAAGATCAAGAGATCGAGACCAGCCTGACCAACATGGCAAAAACCCATCTCTACTGAAAATACAAAAATTAGCCGGGTGTGTTGGTGTATGCCTGTAGTCCCAGCTACTCAGGGAGGCTGAGGCAGGAGAATCTCTTGAACCCAGGAGCCGGAGGTTGCAGTGAGCCAAGATCACACCACTGCACTACAGCCTGGGCGACAGAGGGAGACTCTGTCTCTAAAAAAAGGGGAGGGGTGGATGTACCTTTGAATCCCCAACACCTGGCCCAAGTCCATACTAGGTGTTCATTGCAACGTTTATTACGTGAATGAATGAATGAATGCACGGGTGTTAGTGAAGGAAGCATTTATAAAGTTTCCCCCATTCCTTCCCAAAGAAACTGACAGAACTGTAGGGGTGGGAGGCATGTGGATTTATGGTAAAGGAGTTCTCATGGAGTTTATAGCCTCACTGAGGACATAAGCATTGCATATGAACAAGCAGATCTTTTCTAAGCAAATGCACAGGGTTTGTGAGAATATATTTAAAAATACACACACCAAATATTTACATTTGTTATATGTGGGTCAAATTTTACTGCAATACACATGCATTGCTTATGTAATAGAAAAGAAAGGTAAGTCAGTTTCTCTGAGAAACAGTATTTTGACATCTCAGTACGACATCAAATGCTGATCACTTGAGGTTCAAATTTGGTTATATGTTTTAAATTTCCCACACTTATTCACATCTAGTTTGTATCCTAAATGAGCCTCCGATTTCTTTTTTTTTTTTTTTTTTTTTTTTTTTTTTGAGATGGAGTCTCAATCTGTCACCCAGGCTGCTGGAGTGCAATGGCACGATCTCCACTCACTGCAACCTCTGCCTCCCAGGTTCAAGCGATTCTCCTGCCTCAGCCTCCTGTAGCTGGAGCTACAGGCGCATGCCACCATGCCCGGCTTATTTTTGTATTTTTAGTAGAGACGGGGTTTCACCATATTTGCCAGACTGGTCTTGAGCTCCTGACCTCAGGTGATCTGCCCGCCTCAGCCTTCCAAATTACTGGGATTACACGAGTGAGCCACTGCACCCGGCCGACTTAATTTGAACATGAATAATGTTCCCCTTTTTATTTCCTGTCCTTTATTGCACAATCGGGAAGAAAAGTACATGTGCTTAAGTATTAGAAATTACCGCAAATTTAAGTTCCAGATCTTAGGCAATAGAGTCTTTACCCAGCGCACACATTTTCTCCTTCAGAGTGAGATGAAAGTTTTATGTGAAGATGTTTTTGGATAAGATCCTCATTAGATATTTTATAATCATAGATAAAATTTATAAAATAATCTATGATTATAAAATGTCCATGACCAGATATAACTATATAACTGTGACCACCACGTAGTGTAACAGAGGAAGCAGAGATCCAGAGAGGTGAAGGGGTGAATCTGTGGTCGTGATGAGAGTGGCTGAGCAGGAACTGGAAAAACCCAGAGCCTGTGTTTCCCAGTGCCTCCTCCTGCCTTAAGTTTGTTCCTCTCACATTCATCTGAAATAAAGAAGTATCTGCGTTTGTCTTCTGATGTCTATAGGAACTCTGTCCCACAGTGATGCTATTCCTTTTCATTAACAAACAATATAACAAACGAATTTTATAGAAACAGTCTCTGAAACTCTCACTATTTTGAAGTATTCATTAATGAGAAAAGCTCAAACCCACAGTAAAACCTATATCCGACAGTGATCTTTTCAGGGCCCCTTAAAAGTGAAAATAAAGTCCCCTTTCTGTTCATTCCCATATCACCATCACTCTTTTTAATTTTATCCTCACTTTTTTTTTTTCGAGACAGAGTCCCACCCTGTCGCCAGGTGCCAGGCTGGAGTGCCAGGCTGGAGTGCAGTGGTGCAATCTCAGCTCACTGCAAACTCTGCCTCCTGGGTTCAAGCAACTCTCCTGCCTCAGCCTCCTGAGTAGCTGGGACTATGCGCCATCATGCCCAGCTAATTTTTGTATTTTAGTAGAGATGGAGTTTCACTATGTTGGCCAGGATGGTCTCGATCTCGTGATCCGCCCGCCTTAGCCTCCCAAATTGCTGAGATTACAGGTATGAGCCACCATGCCCAGCCAAGAAAATTAAATTAAATGTTAAGAACTGGGGACTAGAAAGCTAATGAACAGAGCTAGTACTAGTGCTGTCTCATCCTTTTTCTTTCTCTGTTATTCTTTCTTTTTTTCTTCCTCCTCTCTTTTTCACCCGCCCCCATGAATTCTCTCACTACTTATTTTTGCAAACCAGCTCTCTACTTACCCACCAGTATTTACATAGCTGACAACAGCTATCCCACCCTGATTCCTCATGGTCTTTCTGTTCAAGGGCATGCTAGTCTCAAACTCTCAAGGGAGATAATCATATCACTCACCTAAGGAAATACTTCACATCAAGTGAAGGAGGAGTGTTTCAGTCACTAGTCACTACGTTGGCTCTGGATTGGTGTGCACCCCGGTCATATTGCTGCAGCTGCAGGCATGAATTCCAAACATGCGTGTTACAGATATGGGTGGGAAGCAGGTCCTGAAAAGGGAACTCTAACTCTGCAGAGTTCAGTTAGAAGTTGGTTGCTTCTTCTGCCTGTACTTCTCCTGCTCTCTCTACTCTTGTGACTTCTTTTCTATAGAAGGCTGCCCTTCATGTTCAGCTTAATGTACATATTCATCTATATTTAAATGTTGAGTTGTGGTTTACACCTGGCCGCAAGCTCCAGAGATGGCTCTGGGTCCCCTGAGTCTTAACCACAGAAGTGTTACTTCTCAGAAGACAGTCCTGGCCGAGCACGGTGGCTCATGCCTATAATCCCAGTACTTTGGGAGATTGAGGCGGGTGGATAACTTGAGGTCAGGAGTTTGAGACCAGCCTGGCCAACATGGTGAAATGACTAAACATATTAAAAATGCAAAAATCAGCTGGGTATGGTGACACACCCCTGTAATCCAGCCACACAGGAGGCTGAGGTGGGACAATTGCTTAAACCTGGGAGGCAGAGGCTGCTGTGAGCCTAGATCGTGCCACTGCACTCCAGCCTGGGCGACCGAATGAGACCCTCCTCTCAAATAAATAAATAAATAAATAAATAAATAAATAAATAAGAGGACAGTCCTAAAGCAGTGTATTTCTACAGCATGAATAAGTCAACTACCCCAGCAGTGATGACTGGAAAATTCCCTATGTTTGAGTTAACCTGACACATCCTTGCTCACTCTGCGTTCACCTAAGGAGATACTTCACATCAAGTGAAGGAGGAATGTTTCAGTCATCTATTGCTGCATAACAAACCACCTGAAACTTAATCACTTAAAGCAACAATACTTAATATTTCTTTTACTCGTGAACCTGCCTTTTAGGCAGGGCTTGGTGGGGACAACTCAATTCTGTTCACAGGACATCTGAGACCTCAGCTGGGATGACTCAAATGGCTGGGGTGCTGGCCAGGAATCATTCTACATGAAATCTCAGAGCCTCTCCACGCAGTCTCTCTTACAAGGTGGCT